TTAAATAAGAATTTAATTAATAATGTTTTGAAAAGAATTGGGAAGCACTTTCTCACATTATCAAATTATGAATCTGAGCTGGTAGAAGAACTATTAGCATTTCTTTCAAAATTTAAAGAAACTGTAGAATTTCTTTCAGTACAAAAAGGGCCTAGTATAAACTTGGCGTTACTTTTGTGAAATTGAAATACATTTAATAGTAAATGATAGTGATATTTCTGAAATTATTTCACTTAAGAAAAATATACTAAAAAAACTTGCGTTACGATTTCCGGTTTGTAATCTGCAAGTAATATTATATAAGTATATTCTTTTAATTTTTATTTAAAATTATCTAGGTATTGGCTTCTCTTTTAGATCCAAGATTTTAAAAATTGACAATTGTGTCAAAGTATTTAATAGAGCAAAATTCAGCTTCAGAATTTATAATAAAACATCTTAAACTTATAGAGAATGATGATAATCAGGTAGTAAATATAGCTAATGAGGATGAAGATGAATTATTAAATTCAAGTTATTTGACAAAATTGGCAAATAAACATTCAACAAATATAAATTATGATTCCAAGTTAGGTGACTTAGAACAAGAATGCCACAGTTTTTTTGAAAAACGTTATTCACAAGATGTGGAGGTTCTAAATTTTTGTCCCGAAAATTTAAATAAAAAAATTTTTATACATGATATTATAAAATTACGAAATCGATTTTAGATATAAGTTTTCTCTTAAATGAATATTAAAAAATATGCCGAGATATCTGTAGAATAGTGTATATATATATATTTTTTTAAAATTAATAAGCAATTAAAAAAATTTACAACTGCGCTGATATACGCCGATTTTATTGAAGGCGGCAAAAATCGGCGCGCCGCCAGCCGTCGTTTAGATTTTTGAAAATTGTAGCCGACCGCCGATAGTTTCGTCGGAGCACAGGTCTAGGTATAGTCAAAATGGAGCATAATTTAAATAATGTTTAGTATATATTTCTTTGTTCTTCTAATTTATATTACATTCTGAATCTATTTTGCAGGTCATGCAGGATATAAATGGTCTAGAAAACTTTTTGGGAAATTTACAATCAAATTAATTATGTGATTGATAATTTATTTTAATATTCGATAATTTTTTAAGGGGGGTTTGGTAACATTGTGTTATTAATATGGTCATTTTACTTGCTTACTTTATATAATTGTGATTTACCAATATTGTATTTTTTTACCAATAATTGTGATTTAATATTATCAATTAAATTCATAATAAAATTTTGGGTTCAGCTTAAAAAATCAGACGTCTATTATTTTTAAATATAATACAAAGGGAAGTGTACCAATAATAATAAAAAATTTACGTTAGATGAAAAAGTATTATAATATTCCAAATTTTTAATATTCAGATATAAATAGATGGCACTAAAGTTAGTGTTGTTGAACGGATTGATTTAGCCTATTTTTAAATTAATATTTTAGCATCCCAAGCTTCGAAATTTTGTTAATAGACGTCCAAATCTCTCTGCCACCCATAACAAAATCTCCAGGCTTGATATTGTTTTTGATGTTAAATATGGAAAATAAAATATAAAAGATATACTCGTGAGCGAGAAGATTTTAACGTATAATAGCTCCAAATATTTATATGAAATTAAGATAAAACATGATCAGTAATAATTACTTTAATCATAAATTTATAAACCGATGAATATAAAAATGAACTGTATATTATCAATATTAATTTTAAATTATAAATATTGATTTTAGTCATGAGGGAAATAAATGAAAAATAAGTGGATGACTATATTAAAAGTGTTATCAATTCAATTTTAGAAGTAACACAGAAATAGAAAATTATTTATATAGTTGTGACTGAGAATGGCAAATATCTTATAAGCGACTTCAAGGATGATAAAAGGAGTCCATACTAATGTCATATTAAATAACATAAAACAGAAATGCGTTTTTTTTGTTCATTATTTTTTTTCAAATTTTCTTTGCCAGACTATTTTTTATATTTAATCACTAATTTTTTATTGTAAAATCACTATATTCATATAAAATTTATATCTTTATTTTGTATAAGTTAATAAATAAATAACATAATTTTCCTTATATATATTTATAAACGAGTTTGCAACATATTTCTCTCGAGTAAGTTTCACTCTACATCGAATATACTCATCGCGATCGTCCCAAGCATGCCCGAATCCTTTTAGATCTTCTAGATAATTTCTCCTCTCATCTGTGTATCAACTGAATCTCTTCACACTTCTCTTGTTCCTGTAGCTAATATTTTAGAAACGTTTTCTTCCCCATTTTTTTTATTCTCTAAATCATAAATAAAATTCTGAACAATAATATATGTATTATATCTATAAATAAATAAGACCCACCCAAGATTCACGATTTTATCTTGCATTATCTAGCTAGACCAAAAATATTGTAGAAGTTTATATTATACAATTTCAAATTTACATAAGTATTAGGTTGAATTTATAGTATCATGATCTGTCAATTTTCTTCTCTAAAACAATGACTTCCAGCAGCTCACCAACCTTCGTTCTTTAATAATGGATAAAATTGGCTAGTAATGGTAAGAAAAATATCCAAGTAAATTAAACCACTTCCTTTTAACAAACAACGAATTTCTGTAAACCCGGCTGGACTATTATACCCGAACCTTATAATTTTAAAAAGAGTGGTATACTCTATTATACCCGAACCTTATAATTTTAAAAGGAGTGGTATACTCGTTGATTCTAAAGCAAGGAATTCATTCCATAAGCACGAGAAAATAAATAAAATCATCCAAAACATATTGTTTAAATCAACTGTTCCTCTACAATTCGAACCACAAGATACTTCCTTTATTAATAACTTTTGGCCTGGTGGGCAAATGGTGGTACTTGATAATTAATAACAAGAGAGAGAGAGTATGCCTAAACAATATATTAGTCTATTTTATTTAATATTCGAGGAAAATAGTTAACTTACAATTTAATTTCAGAAATATATATCCATAAGGAGGCATTAAAATAATAAAATAATAGTAATTGAAACCCCGAATCATTATTTATTAGCGCTTTTTTAAATATTGCAGTGTAGATACATGTGTAAAATTTTTAAGAAAAGGATAGAACATTAGTAATTGAAAAAGAACCACTAATTTGCATGGTGTATGCCGGTTCTTACCGATTGAAAATTATTGTATTTTGTTTTATATCGCTATAATTATGCATAAAACATTCCAAAAAATATTTTTGAAATATTGTGATCTGACAGATTGCCGACTGATGACCGAGCAAATCTGATATACTATCGTTGACAAGATGATTCGTCATTGATATCAAGGAATATTAATTTTTATTTAATTGATATTTATTTTTAGAATTCGTTGACAAGTTAAAAAAATTATATGATTGGTAAGATAATTTTATCTTGTTTTGGTTTTTGTGTCAAAGATAGAGAAAGATCTTGACCAAGTGGCCAAACCAAAGAAAGGCACAATTTATATTATTTTTATAAAACTGGGAAAGGAAAGGCCTCATGGGATAAAGGTTCGAATGATACAAATATAAAATTTTTATTATTTTTTCCATATTTTTATATTACATTTGACTCCATTATAATTTTAAATATTACATATAAATTAATTTAGTACGCATTCTCTCTATACAAATTTCAGCATTCATGATGAGCATTAACATAAATAATAAAAATACGTTAAATTCAATTTTCTCGATTGATTTATGTCTGATTGTATTAAAAAGGCTTTTAGATTATTATGCCTAATATTTGCTCAGTCTATTTTTAATTTAATTTACTGAAAAGTATGTATACAACGTGGTTAGATGTTTGCATGTATTGATTTATCACCTCATATCAAGCATTACTTAATTTCATTTTGCATTTGGTTAGCGATTTTCAAATGCAGTTTTTTTTCACATAACCTAGAATCTCTTTATCATCACTGTCTGCTTCTGATATGTCATTAATATGATTAATCACATCTTCCTATATTTTTCCCTAATCATTTAAATTGCGAAAAATTAAACAATACTTTTCATAGCTTTTCACACCTATCAGCGTTCGCTAAGGAAAATATTCTCTAAAAAACCTTTTCAATTATACCTTCTCTCATAATTTCAACAAACCATCTAAAACATGGGCATCCGTTATAAAATGTTAATTTTTAAAATTCTTTCATTAAAACCCGTTACTCTAATCGGAATAGATAACATCTCGTAATACCTCGATTCTTTTAAAGGAGGTCCATTTCACATTCATTTTTAATATTTTACAACTCAAATTTATTATGTTTCAATGCAAATTTCTTTGCCCATCATCAAATCTGTCAATTTTTTATCGGTAAATATTGAAAGCGAATAAATGTTAGGGAAACTTAGATAATATTTTTCATCCTCAAATGTTTTCAGTCTAAAATAATGATATAGGCACAATTATTTAAAAAAATTCAAAAAAATATAACCTGTATTCAGATTCTGAAGTCGTTGATGATTTAAAGGTATTATTGCTATCATTATTTAAAATCTATAGCACTTATAGTGGTTGGTGCTATCTCATCTTTGTTCATTAAACATCCATAACAATGCCTTCTCACTAGTCATGAACGCTTAAATTGATAATATGTCAATACCAAATATAATTATCTGCTTCACTTACTTAATTTGACTTGCATTAGAAAAATATGATAGTGTGAAGGTGTCGGTGGGTAAATTTTTCTATTATTCAGGGAATATAAAATTTAAAAAGCTATGAAAGATGAAGTAAAGATAAGAAAGAGGTTGAGTCAAATAGTTTTGACGCTGATGTGTAATTTAGTGGTGACCACAGGGCAGGGAATATGGTCAAGAAAAATTCAAGGACTAAATATTTATTTTTAAAAAAAATTTATAATACATTCACAAATTGCTAAGAATACTTCAAATTAATTTACTAAATCGAAAAAATGTTGTGCGTTGGTTATTATCCGAAAATAGACAATTCAAATGAAAATACATATAATAATTTGTCTCCTATAATATTGCGAACAAAAATTAATACAATAAATAATATATATATTCATATTTAGAGTATGCGTTAAAGAACAATATAATACTTCTAATTCCCAAACTTTTCTTTATAAATTTTTTTTTTTTTCATAACAAAATTAATATTATTCAAAATAAAAAATTTCGCGTTTTATTTAATACGTTCGAATAGCTGGAGGGATTGGCTTGCAATTATCGTTTAGCGTATGATCAATGACAGGTCTGAATTTCAATTCAACCTTTATAAACAAAAAAAAAAATTTTTTTTTTAAAAAGGAAGATTTATCAGAATGCAGGGTTCAATTATTTAAAATTATTTTTTAACCCAAGCCCCGGTTAAAATTTTAGCTAAAATAATATTAAGTAAACCTCGATATTTGTTAAATAGAGGTCCAAACCTTTCTGCCTGCCATCTAGCAAAATCTCGAAGCTTACATAAAATTTATTTTGGCTAAAAGGGTCGTTTTAAAAAATCGACCCGAATCAAGCTTTTTAACAACCTTACATTCTTCCCACTTTTTACTCTTAAAAAATATTAAATCATAAAAGTTAAGGGTATATTAAAATGTGATTGTAATTGGCTCACAGTACACATTTTAAAACAAACATTTTAAAATAGAATGAAAAAAGGGTGAATAAAAATTTAAAAATAAGATAATTTATTTATATTTCCAAGTGTGGTACTATTTTATACTTTTCCATCTCCATCGGTGTCCATGAAAGCTAAAGTGTGCTTCCTCCAGTGCTGAGTTATGTCGCGTTTGGTCTGCCCTTCTATTGGCTTGCTGTAATCAAATTCATCTTCCCTTTTCTTGAGAGTTAATACACGTAGATTATAATAATTACAATATTTGCCGTGTAAATATGAGAAAAGTGATTAAATGCCAACTCGCCATTTTCCATAAATAGAAAACCATATATAGTGTAGATTAATATGCTTATGATAAATCATAAAATAAATAAAAAAAAATTTAAAAAATACGGAGTACTCTTTATTCCCGATATAACAATGTCTCTATTATTTTAAATAAATTCTACAAAAAATTTTTTTTAACCCACAGATAAAAATATTCTAATAAAAAAAGGGGGTGTCAAAAATTATCATTTTACAGGAAAATCTTCTCTGGCATGAGCACCTCGGCTTTCTTTCCTAGCCTCAGCTCCGAACATGATTTGACAGGCCGTCACCAATAAGTTTTTGAGTTCCAGAGCTTCTATTAGATCCGAATTCCATATAAGACCTTTGTCGGTTATCTTGAATTTTAGATGATTTATATACATTTTTTAAGAGAAAAGTGTTTTTTTTAAAAAAAATGAAAACTTCAATGGAATATATCTCTCCTCTAGGGAATAAAAAATATGTTCCAATAAATTGGGGTAGAAGCCTTTTAACTTCATATATCCTTGAGAGGTGGCACGTTATTGAGAGGGTGGGAGTATATAGAGAGTAATTTTATCTCATGAATCTATTGTATTTTTCATTCACCACAGAAAATACATTTTAAAAAAATATCCAAAGAACAACACAATTTTTCTAAAAAATATAAATGTTATAAACAAAAATGATCACGTGTGTCGCGATTTCTTTTTATAAATATTTTTTAAAATAAGTCATATTATAATAGTAATACCAAAGTGCCATTGTGCATACTTTGCCGAGAATACACAGTACATTGCTGTACCAATGTGAATGTTAAAAAAACCTATAAAATATTCCTTTACTCTCATATGCTTAGCCTCCTCGTAGCATTGAGATATGAGCTCGCATCCCTTTTTCAGCGTTTCTTCTGTCCTAAAGACGGCCGCGTAGTCCTGCATAATTTTCTGCATCTTGAGACGAGTTTCAGCTGGTGTAGGATCGGTTTTATCTGGAGAATATGCCGTCTGGATTAATGAATCCAAATCGGATATTGTTTTTTCGCCGGCACGCTGAATAAAATGTATATTGCATTTTAAAAAGATTTAATTTTTGAAAATGGTAAAGAAAATGAATAAATATAAAAAAGAAGAAAATATAGAAATATTACGTCTTCAAATTCGGACATTTTTTGACCAGGGCGGTAATTTTCAGTTATATAATTAGCTATTGCTCGCCCAAAAACCACGATATCCAACAAGGAATTGGCGCCAAGTCTGTTCGCTCCGTGCACACTGGTAGAAGCGCACTCCCCCGCTGCCCATAGACCGTCCACGATTTTGGTTGTATTCGTTTTGCGGTCTAAAGTGATAACCTTTATAAGTTTTTTTTTTTAATTTTTACAAAAAAATACCAATAAATGGTTTACAGTGAATATAGGTGCCCAACTTAAAAGGGGAAAACCGATTTCCAAAAAGGTATATAATCCATTTTTTTTGTTTCTCTTAATTTCCCCACTTATGGTTTTTCCTTTTAATTTTTTTCGACAATATTTGTCTTAATACTGGGGAAATCAAAATAAAAAAGGGTAAAAAAAAATCTTTAGCTTTTGCCTCCCAACATGGAAGGATATAACCGGTAAAATATCTCTATTCTCATTCCCCGCTTTCTTCGCTCCATTCTCCCTTCTTTATATTATTCTTTCTCATTCAATCCTTCCATTCTTCTTTAAAATTGTTTCCTTTTCTCATTAATTCCTAATTTACCTGTCCTTTGTAATTGGTTGGAACTCCTCCCATGTTGTAATGAACCGTGGGTAAAACTGGTATGGGTTGCGTGGTAGCGTCGATGCCCGCAAATATTTTGGCCGTCTCTGATATACCCGGCAGCCTCTCCAATATTAACTCGCGAGGCAAATGGGACAGCTGGATATAAACGTGGTCTTTTTCCGGCCCGCATCCCCTAGTAGTAGAAAAAACATTAGTGCATAACAATAAGCAGAAAAATCAATCCCTTATGAAAAAAATGACACTTTTATATTAAAGGACGTCATTATTTTATTAAATATAATTGTCAAAGACGTCAATCTGATTTAAATGTTAATTTTTATCATCGCTTTCTTGAATATTAATAATAATAATAAAGTATAGCAAAAAAAACCTCCCTTCCCTAATCTCCATGGTAATAGCCCTTGATACCACGTCCCGGGAAGCCAAGTCTTTAGCCTTCGGGGCGTATTTGGGCATGAATCTTTCGTTGAGAGAGTTTATCAGGTAACCCCCTTCGCCCCTGCAGCCCTCTGTCATGAGGCATCCTGCCCCATAAATGCCAGTGGGGTGAAATTGTACGAATTCCATATCCTGATTAGGCAGACCTGCTCTCGCTACCATACCGTTACCGTCGCCTTAAAATATTGTTTATTTTATTTGAGTAAATTATTTTAAAAAATCGAGAAAGAAACAGAGCATTAATGGTTTGTAAATTATCGCGTGTAAAACAAATACGTTTTTTTAGTGTATCTAGCTGTCTTTTCTTTCTCTAACACCGGACACGTGGAATAAAAACAATATTATTACTGACCCGTGCAAGTGTGAGCGGAAGTGCATGAAAAATAAGATCGACCGAACCCTCCCGTAGTCAGGATAGTATTTTTAGCCCTGAGCCTGTGCAAAGTACCGTCCTCCAACTTTAGAGCCATAATTCCCATGCATTCCGTCCCGGATGGGTCCATTATTAGGTCGAGTGCGAAATATTCTATTAAGTACTTTGTGTCATATCTTAAGGACTATAATAAAAATTTTTAAAAAAATAAAATAATAACGTTTATTTTAGTGTTCCGATACGCCTATACGCCCAATAAATTACTATTCATTTTATTTGATTGTTTAAGATTAACACTTATATATTATTGTTTACAATAAATTCAATAACATTGTTAGAAAAGAGTGAATTAAGTTATAAACAGTTATAGTTATAGGTAATCTCCCTTTTAGCCGATTGAAACCCGAAGATATAACTCAGCCTCAGGCTTTTGTTCGGAAAAATAAATTCAATCTTGGGATGAATGGGGAAAAAAACTGACACGTGCAACACAAGGCTAAGCTAATTAGTTGTTGAGGAATGCTTCAGTGGATTAACCCGATTTCCCAACCAAGATCCTCAGGACTAATGAGATTTTGGCTCATGTTCAATTTTCGAAATTTAGGAATTCAAAGTAATAAATTACGAATGGTTTTATATAATAGCAAAATTTATAGAGATACCGTGTAAATAATTCGAGATCCCTTTTCGTTTAATATATAGATTCATAAGCGTAAAATTAATTTCAGGCATGTTTATTTTGAGGCAAAATCAAATCTCATCCAAAATTCTCCTGTTTCTATAGAGTGGTTTTTACATTTTAACAGAGATGCGTGATCAAGGCCAATACTCTACATAGTTAAAGAGACGAAATCGCTACAATTTACTGTTAAAAAAATATATTTATATTTATGAAAAACCGATTAAATTTATATAACAAAGTTAATTTTTTTGATAATAATTAATAATAAAAATAATAAATTTAATAATTTTTTATATGATATATTTTCTTGCCAGCTGACGTGTATGATCTAAAACTTGTATTATCTTATAAATCATTAGTGCTATAAACATTTCTAAAAAAAATATAACGCATTCGTGTCGTTCAGCACCAAAAAAAAGAAGGCGTTGATTTTTGTTCGAAACTTCATGAATAAATTTAAATAAAATATCCGAGCCGGGTCGAATATTTTAAAGACGAGAATTTTAAATCTCCATCATAAAAATTAAAAATAAATAAAATATATTTAAAAATTGTATATCAGATTCATTCACTTCTAGTTTTATTTCCATTTTTTTTCGATTCTTAAAAAATATTTCAGTAAAATATAATTCAAACTTATTATTCAACTAATCATTATTTTAGGTTATTTTCAATCAAATTAAAAGCAAAAATGATATACTTGCATATTTTAAAATATAATATACTTTTTAAGTGAAATTATTTCATAAAATAAGTAATTATTTTATCTCTCATTTTCTATCTGTCCCAAATTAGGGCAATTATGACGATGCTACCAGGGAGAGAGCGCAAAATGAATGGTATCTATATACCATATTAAATTGCAAGAGGAACAGGAAATAAGGGAATTCTATCGACCAGTCGAATTGAGAGTGTGGTCATTCAAACTTACTCCTTTTTACGATAAATGGGGAGATAAAATAATTTGAAAAGCTATTAAATATGGATTTCATATTCGCTAAAAAACGATCCGTAAAATGCTGAATATGTATATTTTAATTTTTAAAAGGCTAAAGAAAAAATTTACACACAATGACCGAAAATATTTTATAAAGAAATCTGGAGGGGAAATTTTTTTAATTTAAATACGAGCAAGGCGTGCAAATGGTTATGCAAGTCACATCACAAAATTTTAAGGCGTTGTCTAAAATGAATTAATGTAGTGAACTGGGGTTATTTTTGAAAGGATTTCGTTTGTTGAGTGATAGCAGAAATAATCAGACCCTAGAGGAATACAGGACGGATTATGTCAATCTCAGGTGAAGAATGTCGTTGCTAAATATGGTAGTGCAATTACTAGGTCCAGAATAAATTTGATTATCGGTACCCATGTTATTTAATTGGTGTTTTTGAAGAAGGGCCAAGTATGTATCATTATCATGAGGAGCCAGAGGTGCGGCAAGACATATGGCGGATCGAATATTTAAGTTACCTATTTTGTTAGATATAAGTTTTATTATCGTTTTTAAGGTTATTATGATTTTTCCTTTTGTTTTCAATATTTGAAGGGTGTGGGTCATCGATCTAAAGGAAGGGTATTTTCGGATGCATCTTTAATCTGTTGAATAAGTCATTTTTTACTAAAATGGTCAAGTGTTTGTAAGGTGAGGAAAGAGTACGATAAAAAGGTCAAGCCAGTGGGCTAACTGATGAGAAATTATTAGGCAAGGATAATTTAAATTCTTTGAATAAGATCTTGCTATTTGAAGCCTTGCACCGTTAGGTATGCGAGATAAGATGTGAGGTTTGGGGGCAATGATAAATGACTCTACAGCAATGAAGACAGAATTTGCTATATTTGTAGAATTATGAAGAATATCTAAAACGAGTATTAATGGTGCACATGAAGGGTGTAAAGCAGTGGCATCATGCGTGGTTGCCAGCGCTATGAATGAAATGGGTGTAGGTGAAAAGATTCTCGATTTGGGGCTATTAATTTTTCCAGTACTATGGGGATAATATAGCGGCGGATATGAGAAAAATAAATCTTACAAATATTGATGATCAGGATCGTCAAAAATGGAGAAGGAAAATTCGTGGGAAAATTTGCCTAAAGGAGGCATTTTTTTAAAAAACCAAAAACTGGGGGCGAATGTTGGTAAAAATTACTCGTTTTTGTAGTTGGGTCAAAATTGGCTAAAAAATGGAGTTTTCCATCCTTTTCTTAGAAAATAAATAAAAATAAATTATCAACGTTTTTCACAATAAATGATCGGAGAACCTGAAGATGGACCTAAAAAAATAATAATTAAAACCTCTCCGTATAGCGTGTGCAATAGAGAGTGCCCTGTTCTATCAGCCACACAGCAACATCGTTGAGCTTGACCCCCTTTTCCGTAATTGTAAGATTGTCCACCAAAGCCTCTTTGATAAATTTTTCCATCCTTAGTTCGGCTAAAAGGCATGCCAAAATTCTCCAACTAAAAGAGGGGGCGATTTTTAAGTATTTTAAATCAAAAAATAAATAAATGAGAAGGGTAGGAATATGGAAAGAGGGAAGGAAGATATAGGAATACATTTCCATAATATCTATATAAGATGTAAGAATATCCATTATTTCATAATAAATTAATTTTAATAATTAAATTAATGATAGGATATTTAGTTTTTGATTGAATTAAATAATTACTATCGAGTTATTTGTTAGCATCTTACATAGATATAGCCTGATTTTCTGGGGGAGAGGGGGAGGTAGAATAATTTTTTCTGCATAAATTTTATTGAAAGTCTTTAAGTATACATATTAAGACCTTTGGCTATGTTACACTTTTTAAGGAATAATTTTGGATTTTCACTTCTTTTTTAAAAAAATGCTGGTTTTTTTGTTTTTAAAGTTTTGAATTATATTTATTATTGGTAAAAATTATTAATTTTGCTTATTTTTCTTTCAAATGATTGTATAATGATATTTGCATACATTTATTTAATATATAAAAGGGTGAGGGGGAGGGGGTGTTAGGGAGAAATTTATAATAAGCTAAAAATGATATTTAAGAAAACAGATAAATTTTCAAGGGAAGAGAATTTTCCACTTCCCCCTCCCACTTAGAAAAGTCAATGTCATGAGATATCCATCAAATATAAAACTAGATAATATTTAACATCAAAAATAGGAAAAGACATGAAATTGATTAACACCATTTATAAAATCCTATTATTTAAAAAAATTGTTTAAAAGAAAAGACTTAAATGACAAAATAAGGAGATTTAATGTATATTTGGTGAAATCTCAAGTTTAAATCATTTACTATTATAAATTTTGAAAAATCTGTTAACCAGATATACATTTCTGCATGTCACCAAGAATTTTGGACAATTTTGAGATGAACTTTTTAACTAGTCTTAATTTATATTCATTTTTATATAAATTAAAAAAATAGAACAAAGTTTATGGCAAATATTGTTTATAATTAAGAAGGTAACTACCCTACACATGCTGAAATCATTTCCAGTAAATCAGTTTTTTACAATGTAAAAATGCCCTCTGTAAAGATTTAAAATTGAGAGAATCAAGATATCCATCTATTCCATACCCCAAATGACATATATATATTTGTGTTATATTTGACAAATCTTGGATAAGGTGCCTTTGTTAATAATATGGATGATAAATACATATGCATTAATAATAATGTATAAAAAAGGAACAAACTTAAACCAAAATTGCAGTAACTTTTTATTTTGTGTAAAAATAGTTTATTTATATATTATTATAGAGCTATAAAGGAATTTATAGGTTTACACAAATGTAAGAATTAATTAGCCATTAATTGATTATAAAAAGTAAAAGAGAACCAAATATATAAATATAAATATAGATAGGTAGGTCTTATAAAGAAAAATTAAATCCCATTTTATAGGACATTAACAAGATAAAGTAATAGGGATCATTTCTTGGTATTTATGTATATAAAGCCAAACAATTATTTTCCAGACCAAATAAAATTTAATATCTTTTATTATTATATATAAAAAAATTATTCTAAGTTAAAATAAAATAATTAAGTCAAAATTATAAACTTCAATAACAGCTTTTGGAGCTTGCTCTGTCATATACTGAATAGCATCTTGATCACCTAACCAATCAGATCCTTTAATTGTATCATACCTAAATAGAAAAATTTGATCTATAAAATATAATATTTGAACAACTTTACTATAAAAAACATAAGTATACAATTAAATTTATAAAAAACAATTACATATGCCATCTCCAATCATCGGGTTCCATATTACCCAAGGCAGCATTTATTCCACCTTGTGCTGCAACAGTATGACTTCTAGTTGGAAATAATTTAGTAACACATGCAGTATTAAAACCAGCATTAGCAAGACCAAATGCTGCTCTTAGACCAGCACCACCTGCCCCTACAACGATGGCATCGTATGTATGATCAATGACAGGATATTCTTTTGATATCTAAAAATATCAAATATTTACTTTATATATTAAGATTAAAATAAAACGCTATTTGATGGAGATGCTCTTGTATGTGCAAGAATTTTTTGAGACACATAATTTGAGATCCGATATGAATTTTTCTAATGATAAATTTTGATTTGGAATTAAAGTTATTTTACTTTGCTAATAAGCTTGTACGAACTATGCATCATATGTAATTTACAAAGGCTAACCAAAAAAGGTTAACATACGTCGAAAATATATAGCAAGAATTTGGTGAATGTGAGAAAGGTTGGGTAAAAAATTATATAACCAGACTGGAAAAGTATTGACGAGAAAAGGGAAGCATGCCCATGAGATCGAAGTACATAAAAGAATAAAAACATGAACAACCTAGACATAGAGTCACTGAACAAAATAAAGCAAATATTCTGGAAACAACTAATCTGGAAGAGAAGTTTGGAACATGAAGATATTGGAAATGGAATTGCGATCGACACCCCTCAAAAGAAATATTCTATTACCAAAAAGGTTTCATAAGAATTTATTTAAGATAAGGAGATGTAATAGAGTTAAATTAAATAATAAGCTTAGATAATAATAAATTAATAAAAAAAAATATCAAAACTAAATAACAACTCTTAACGATACTTCAACAGAAAAATAAACTGGCAAAAATAGATTTTCGCAAAGAGAGGAATGTTACATATATAGGCATTTTAATATTAATTAAAATAAATTATAATAATCATCATAGACATACCAAAATTTTCCCAAGAGTGGAAAGGGGGGAGATTAATATCTTCCTTTTTGCTATCTCAAAGTTGAGTTGAGCTATTTTTTATAGAGGTTTACTTTAATCATCTTATTAACCTTATTTAGAATGTACGATTTTTAAAGAAATAAATTATTATAATGATTATTTTGCTTTATTCCTAACACATAACATAGTCAAATGCTATGACAGAAAAATATATATATATAAGGATAATTACTCTACATAAATATTAGGTAGCTAAACCTTAACATTATCTAACTATCAATAATCATAATGGCTGATATATATGTTTAAACTATATTGCTATTGCAATATTACTTTCTATCATTCAATTATCTACATTAACCACTTTTGTTTTAAATCACTCGTTAAAATTATCTTAATATAATGTCCTCATTTTTCATGTGTATAGAACAAATTTCTATATTGTGAGCAGCATTTTATAAAATATATATTATAATCAGGGGCGTTGCTAACCTTCACAATCTCAGGGGGCTCAACTAAAAAAATTTTATGGGGGCTTCGCCCCCATACTCCCCATTTTGGGTTTTATATTAATATATTATACTTTTTTAAAATTTGTTAACTCTGAACAATTATTCTGATTTTCATATTTTGTCATTTATTATATAATGCATACAAAATAAACTGGCATATAAAAAATCACATAATGTAATTATAAAATTCTTAGCAGCTTACATAGATAAAGGGTTAAAGGTTATTAAACTAGTATAATTCTCTGTAACCATTTTAGACAGTGTTTTATAGAATGGACTAATAAGGAAAAATTTATAGGCCTAAACCAAATCAACAATTTTTGTTGGAGAGAGTATTAACGACCCATCCAAATCATAAAACTATATGGTGGTTAGAACTTCCTCTTAGATGACATATTGGAAGCTAGCTAAGTAATCGAGAAAATTATTGTGAGATATTAAATTTCTAAAATATTATCTTTCATTTTAAATGATATATAAACGACTACACAGTTGACCATTATTTTTATCTAAAATTTGCAATTATATGCTCTCAGCCGTTATAGTAATAATCTTATATTACAAGCAACACAAATAATAGATGCTGGTTAATTTGCAGTAATAGCCATGACACTCACGATGTAAACAAATATCAGAATTTATTATGTTGTATAAATTGATAAAATAAAAACACTAAAAATCTTTGGAAGAAATATTTATGCAAATATATTGAAGCCTAAAGTTATTTACACGGAAATGCCATTAGAAATGAAATATTTTCTAATTATAAAAAGGACCAGAATTATATGATGAAACAATTAAGATTTTATATAATTTCGCACCACCTTGGTATATTATATCTTAAAATAATAACAAAAATATACTTGTATTAAAAATTTAACTCAAAACTGTTTTTCGAAAAGGAAAAAAATAGCTTTCCTAAAAACAATAAAAAAAGAGAAGAAAAGATATCAAATTTATTACAGCTATTGCTGAATGAATAATAAAATGTTTTATTTTTAAAATTATTTATAACTAAATAGATGGCGTTAAATACTTGAATGCAAATTGTAACTATATTTATTATAAAAACTAATTATTAGTATAATTTATTATAGTATTAACTATAATATTATATAACTATCAAATACGTCTATAAAAGTGGCATTTTATCTAATATTTTATAAACAACTATAGGTTACTAACTTTTTATAAAGAAATCTCTTATACTTATTTAGACCTTGAAAATATTTTTAGGAATATGTATGATAATAAAATTTAAAAATAAATATACAGTGGATTAGTCATTTTGAACTCGGCTAATTACAATTTTAAATTTTTTAATTTTCAAATAATATATGATATATTTATTTAATTAGGGTTAAATAATAAAAGTCAATTAAATTTCAACTGTTAAAGCTAAATTAATATTTAGTGAGTTATTGATATTATATTTTTAATACAGAATTTGATTGCAAGCTGACATAGTGAAAATAGAATTTATATGTATGAAATATTCATTTAATAAAAATTTAAATAGTCTTATTAATTTCTAAATAATAAAATTATATCTATATATTACTTAATGGAATTATAAAAGAAATCATTCAGTGGGCAATCAAAAAAATTTATTTTTAGTTCAAGGGGATATTAAGGAGCCATTAAAAAAAAATTTTTTGCTTCAGAAGGCTATTCAAATTTTTCAGGGGGCTCGAGCCCCTCTCCTCTCCTCCCCTCCTAGCGACGCCACTGATTATAATCTTGTTCGTAATGTAATTTTTTTATATTATAACAAAATGTTGATAAATATATGAACAACTAACTTTTATAAAAAGAGATAAATTCCCCAAATATAGCTAAATTTAGCAAATATTAAAATATAAGTTAACTTTAATACATCTAACTTTCACTTAAATTCCTTGTATAAGGTCTGTAAATATTATAAGAATAGAATGGATCAGAATATAAAATTATATATTATAGAATAAAATTATATTAATATTGAATATGAAAATAAATAAAATTTTGATACTATAGTTGCTTTATATTTTATTGGTCTTTTATTTATAATTTTATATTATGTATTTTTATATTGCTTAGGGGCTATAACATAATTTAAATTTATATATTAACTTTCTTTTGATTAAAAATTAATTTATGCTAAATTGATTTAATATAATTCTTGTTGAAATATTATTCAAATGTTTTTTACATTCAATTAACTTTTAGCAAAATATTTATATATATATTGTTAAACTGTGATAATAATCATTATTTTATTACTTAAGTAAATGCCTTTAATTCTTATATAATCGATCCTAAAATTCCTAAAGATATATACAATAAAAGCAAGAAAAATAAATAATAATCTGGCAAGCCACGCGTCCCACAGAGACATAATATTGCTGTTTTAAATTAGATTTGACATTTTCTTACAACGATCAGATTCGGGAAGCAATAGTAACTGAATAGTTTGAGAAATAATATTCTTAGACTGAATCTAAAAAAGAAATTAAAATGAATTCTCAAATAATTGATTTAAGTTTTTTTTATAAGAAATAATATATAATAATGTTTGGTTTTCAATAGGCGAGTTTTTAACCCGAAAGCCCGCTAATCTATATTGTTTTAAAAATATTTTTAACCCCTCCGCTCGCTCATCATTTAAAATTTTTAACCATTGCTGACTTTAGTTTATATGATATAATTATTCTAATTTTAGATATGATTATTTTTAGTGTTTTTGAAATAGCATATGAAAGTCAGAATAATTCATATTATGTTTAGGTAATTTGAAAAAGAAAATTTGTCGAGACCAATAATTTCTTTTATCAAATTTGATTAATACAAAATGGTTTATTCGTATAATAAATTTTTTCCAATCCTATTAATTTAAATTATGGGTTTCATTAATTTATTTATTTAGACATTTCTCTATAATAGAATTCATAAGTAATATAAATTATTAAAAGTTTAAAATTAATATCTGCCTTATTTTTAAAAAATAATCAATTATAAAAAGATAAAAATAATCAACAGTAATATTATAATAATGCAACACTTTGATTTCATTATGTGTTAGTAAAAGAACAGTAGAAACTAGGAATGTAAATAAACAATTAATCTTATTTTTTAAATATAAGAACACGGGAAAAAGTGCGAAAAAATATTATAAAAATGCAATAATTTCACTTTATGATATAATTGATTTTAAGGCATAATTGATATTATATACAATAGCAATATTTAGCTAATTTTGATATTATCTTGTTACATTTTGATAAAAGAAAGGAAAAAACTAATTACCTTTAAACGCTGCATTAGAATATAAAAAAAATTTTATTAATGTGAATTGCTGAACACTAATATATACAGTAACCATGTTTTACCTGGCCTTACGCCTAGTCTCTCCTATTATATTATTAATTTTTCGATGATCTGTATATAATCTCCGTCATAGTTGGCTGAGCCTTAATTCTAAAATATGGCATATTTATATTTTGTGCTTATTAGTGCCTGACTTTAACTAATATAGTATAAATATTTATTAGAAAGAAAATTTTGACCCATCTTAATTTTAAAAAGTAACTGAAGGTATATATTCTGTAAATTTTATTATTGTTTAGAGCTTAATTGCATATTTATTTAATTCGTTTGGTAAAATATAAAGAAAATTGCCAAAATAGTTATCGTGCTAAAATAAAATATAAAAAAAAAACTATGTACCTGGCTTACTTTAATATTGAATGCCTGACCAGTTTCACTTCCTCACTCAAATATGAGAACTCAATAGGAAACTGAGTTGCAAAATAAAAAGAATGACGTCACGCTTTAGAAGTGAGCCAAGCTTTTGGAAATACTAACTCTGAAACTTATATTAAACCATTAAGTATGGGTTATTAGTATATTTTATTGCTTTATTCTGTTTGGTAGTTGGTTTAAAGAAGAAAAGAATTATTAATAAAAAAATTGTCAAAATTAGAATCATGCAAAAACGAAGAATA